TGTTTAGACCAACTTGAGTTTGGAATCTTCTCCAATCTCCAGCAGCCTGGAATGGTAGGGTGCGTTATCCATCACTATCAGGGAAGGCTCTTCTAAATTTGGGAGTAATTGTTCCTGGAACCATTTTTCGAAATTTTTAGCATTCATAGCGTCATGCTAATCACCGGACCCTGTGTCTGATCCAGCATGTAAAATAATGTATCTGACGCCTTCTGAACTTTTCTTTTTAATAGATTTATTTGAACCGTCTTGCCAACTATTTCTAAACGCTCCCTTGCTAATACAACAAAAATATATTTATATGGATTTTTAATTAAACCTTCCCAGAAACCTGTTTATCCACGTTTCATCAAAAAAAAAAACGGGTTTTAAAGCAAAACTACAGTTGAAATTATCTGTATATGCCCTCAAAAACCGAACTCTTTTCTCAACAACCTATGACTGTTCCATTAAATACTTCCTATTGGATAGGTATAGTATATCTTTCCGCCACTCAAAAATTAATGCTCGTAAACCTCTACATAGGGAAGCATTTGAATATTCCACATCGTCAAGATTTAGCAAATAAGTTTGGAGTGAAACTACTGTGACTTCTCCTGTGGAAGAATTTAGTTATATTTTTGTCAAAATGGAGTTAAATCAAGTTTATTTTGAATACCTATACCAAACATTGCGTATATTCTATTTCTAATGGTATGCTCGTGCGTCCACGAGATCTCTGAATTGCAGCTGTTGTGGATGCCTTATGATCCATATCACTCCTGATCTCATGCGCATTGATCTTTTTAACAGTGGTAATTCTAATTCCCAGGGCATCAGATACTCTCTACACAAGTCGAAGAAATAAAGTCAAACATTAAATTTTAATATGAATACAGATAGGTACCAAATTTTAGAAAAAAAATCACATCTAAAACACACTTAAATGGTAACAGGGGGTTTCCTGCCTCTCGCTTCTTTGTAAAGTAGGAAATAAGGCTTGAAATCATATTTTACTCACCTTCTGAATATCGTTGAGGCATTTTACACAATAATAGGCAAGTGGAATTAAAACGTGACGCGCCTATTGACAAAATCGATTTTTTTGACAAGTTTCAATATAAATAACTTCTGGTTTTAAGAACCGACGAACGTTTTTGACGTCATTAATTGGTTTCAGTCAATTTTCATTTATTAAACAAGGAAGGCAAATGCTGGTGGCAAGTACAAACCCTGGTGAAACAAACTTTACCTAATGTGTATATACTAGGCTAATCAATTTCATCTCCTAGTCATTCAAATGATTTTGACTGTGTTGAAATTATCACTGTTTTATTTTCTTTCTCGATATAGATGAAATATTATTGCTCCAAATCAATAAATTCGTTCTCGAGCTTAAAATATACCGTTGCAAAACATTCCATGACGTTGTTAAAAGCCTGAAAGTCAATTCAAGTAGCATTTTCTAAACCATATTCCGACGTGGGGTCACTTGATGATCGTGACGTCATATTAGTAATGCTCTCCGGCCCGATTTCTAGCCGGTCACGATTCCTCGACAACTCGTGTGTGCTAAAAGGTGGTAGTCGCTGCAGGTGCCTGGTTCTTTTTTTATACACTCCGAGGCCCCGTTTACCATTTCATCACGTTTTCGTTATTCGATCACAGGCTCAAAAAGAGAGTCCGCTCTTTTTTTTTCGGGCATTTTTATTTCTCCGGCGAGCTGCTGTTGCCGCTACAAACGTGCCATTTATTTTGTTCTTGTAAAGACCGTGGTCAATTTGGAATTTAACCTGTTATTTGCTGGGAATCTCCAGCGCGCCAGAAAACCGCGAAAGCTTCGTTTTTTTTTTGCCGGTAAAGCTCCACACTGACGGCCTTAGTTGAGAATTAGCTTGGATTTTTTGCTTATATAACGAGCATACCGTTTCTGGGTGATCATTATGAAGGTTAACTGGCTATCACTTTTCCTGACTGTTTTATAGAAAAGAAAACCGGCCTATTGATATTTTTTTTTACAAAAAACGACTGAAATCAGATTCATACAATAGCATTTGCATTGCAGCTCGAGAAAAGTTTGTAGGTAAAATTGTTCTCTTCTATTTCAGACTTTTAAAATTCCTTTATTTTTTATTCCTAGTTCTTGCATTTTCTTTATTTTCTGTTTAAAGTTTAGAACGTTTTTATAATTTATTCCAGGCTATTGTTTTGGACTTTTGATCTTTCCTAATTTCATTCCAGGCTGTTGAATTGATTTTATTTTTATTACTGGCTCTCGGGGACACCACTATCAATGTTCTGGTTAAGAGAGACTGTCCACAAGGTGGTGTGTTATCACCGATCACCGATCCTCTGGGACCTTGTGGTAGACAGCCTCCTACATAGCTTAAATGATGCGGGATTCCCTATATAGGTTACGCAGATGATTTGTGCATTCTGCTTACAGGTAAGGTTGATAGCGTTCTATGCAATCTCATGCAAACGGCTCTTAACCAAATTTCATCATGGTGTGACGAGCACTTCCTGACGGTGAATCCACTGAAAACGGAGTTGATCCTCTCCACCAGAAAAACAAAGCTAAGTGGTATGCAAATACCCAGGCTAAATAATACCAGTCTACAGCTGACTCCAGAGGTCAAGTACACTTGGCCAATCATAAAACTGGTAAATGGGTAAATCGACCTTTTTTATCACCATTTATCTTTGACATTGACAAAAACTGTCTGATCTAAGTTTTTCAGAACAGACTTTTTGTTGTTAAGCCTGACACACTAGGCAAATTTAACAAATATATAGGGGAGACTAGGGAGGGTTGATACCATGGGAGGATTGATACATTTTTAAATTTGCTGCTTCAAGCGTTGACTGCCTGGTAGATTTGGCAACACTGGAATGTTTTCGCGTGGTGAGCACATTTGCTATTTGTTTATCGCCGTTTGATGTGTCGTAAACATTTCACTGCAAAAAACTTGTTTTTGGTGGTAAATTTGTAAAATTTATCTAAGGTAAGTGTAACCGTTTTATTAATAATTAATACAAATTATCATTTTTATGGAATTTAAATTTGGTAGGGGTGGGTTCTAGCTATTATTCAATATAATATTCATTCCCGTAATGTGAGGTTAGTTTCTCGAAATTCGAAATAGTTTTAAATAAATCATATAAAGGAGGAATGATACACCCTAATTTGGGAGACTTGATACATGTATCAAACCTCCCGCAAGTCAGCAATAATAAATTTGTTTCCCTTTTTACATTTCAGAATGCCATTCAAGTGGACAAAAAGTCTATGCCAGAACGAATGAAGAAAGCGGTACAGGAAGTGTTGGATGGATGCAAACTGAGAACTACGGCTAAAAAATACAACATAGACAAAATGACCCTGAGAAGGTACGTTGCGAAGTTCAGAGAAAGTGGGGAGGAAACAAATTTTATTCCAAATTTTGCGAGTTCACAAATTTTTAATTCCGAAGAAGAAAAGATTCTAGCAGAATATTTGCTAACCGCGGCTAGAATTAATTTTGGGTTCACATCGAAAGAGACCAGAAAATTTGCATATTTGTATGCTAAGGAAAATAAAAATAAAATCCCTCAAAATTGGTTGAAAAATGAAAAAGCTTCATATGAATGGCTTCGGGGTTTTAAGGATAGGAACAATAAACTGTCCCTTCGAACCCCGGAACCAACAAGTCTTTCCCGTGGAACAGCTTTTAACCAGCACACCGTTGGTGAATTTTATAATTTACTTGGAGAAGTATTGGGTCGAGAGCAGTTTGAGCCAGAATCTATATATAACTGTGATGAGACCGGAGTTCAGACTGTCCACAAACCAGGCAAAATCATTTCAAGGAAAGGCCAAAAATAAGTTGCTAAAGCTACCTCAGGTGAAAGAGGACAGACAGTCACAGTCCTGTGTACCATTAGTGCCATAGGAAATTCAATCCAACCTTTTTTTGTTTTTCCGCGGGTTCGCCAACAAGACTAAGGGCCGAATTTATAGTCGCTCCTTGAGGTTTCCTCAGATCTTAAGGGAGCCTTGAACGTTTAGAATTGACTTGACTAACTTGTCAAATAGTAGCAAGTGTCCATTCTAAACTCACGACCTCCAAGGAAAACTCAAGGAGCGACTATAAATTTGGCCCTAAATGACGATTGGCACACCACCAGGATCTAAAGCTGCGACTCATCCAAGTGGTTGGATGACAGCTGACAACTTTGAACTATATCTGTCACATTTCATAAAGTTTGCAAAACCCACCAAAGATAAAAAGGCATTATTAATCTTCTGGCGTTTCCGATTGGTATATTCAGTGCGCACTGAGTGTATTTGTATCCTTTTATTCGACCTGTAGAAGAAAAAGACAGGAATTGAAAAAATTGCACTAGTTCTGCGCTAGATCTACCATTCGGAAACGCCATTAGACAATCACAGTAGCTATATATCTTCTAACGGTCTAGATATTTGCAAGCAAAATGGAATAGTTTTATTAACAATACCCCCACATACAAGCCACCGGTTACAACCACTGGATGTCGCCGTATATGGTCCATTTAAAGCATATTTTAATGAAGCTTGCGGTGATTTCATGGTAAAAAATCCTGGTCAAACTATTCCTTTGAAAGATATTGCAAAGCTCGTTGGTCTGGCATACCAGCGGGCTTTCACTCCACTGAATATCACAAAAAGATTTTCCAAAACTGGCATTTACCCCTACAACTCACACCTATTCACCGATGATGACTTTCTTGCTGCGAGAGTTACCGACCGTCCTGACCCTCAACAGCGCGAACCTTCACCCGATGCAACTCCAACACCTGCTGCTCATAGAGAACGGACACCGAAAGCAACCCCGGAACATATTCCTAAACCTTCTTGCTCCTACAAGACCCCTGAAGAAATAAGAGCATTGCCGCAGGCTCCACCAAGAAAAAAACAAGCATCAGGAAGAAGGGAAGAAATTAAAAATGATCACGAAAAAAGAGGAGAGCACAAGAACAAAAAACAATTTAAGAAAAACCTTATGGGCGAAATATCCACTGAAACAATCAATATGAAAAAGCCTGTAAAAAACAAGAAACGAAAAGCAATTGAGGAAGAATCTGAATCTGATAAATCTTTGTATAACTCATCCTCGTGTGAAGAAGTAACTGATATAGAAGACCAGATGAAAAATGAAAAAGAAGAAGAAAATTTTATTACAGGGTTAGTAAATGTGAACGATTATGTGCTGGTATGATTTGCCACCAAAAAAACTGTAACACACTACGTTGGAAAAGTTTTAGAAACAATAAATGGAGAACATTTATTAAATTTCATGCGGCAAAAGAAACCAGTATATCATTTTGTGTATCCTGACGTCGAAGATCAATCTTTGGTATCCGAAGAAGATGTTATGAAGTTGCCGCCTCCAAATTTTGTGGGTGGAACTGCCAGATCCACAAGAAAATTAACTTTTCCTGTAAAATTTCAAAAATTTGACAATATTAATTAGGTAGTTTGTAACGTTGTAATTTTGAAACTTTTGCGGAAATAAATGTTTTGAAAATATTTTGCAGTCTTTTAAATATTGTCTCAAGTCTCCCGTACACTGTATCAAACCTCCTTCACAATGGGAGACTTGATACACCTTACAGTTTTTTTAAAATATCTAATATCTCGTACCATGTCCTAAATTGCCTGACTTTATCTGTGCATAATTAATTGCAAATTAGTTAGGTATAAAGGGCACCACAAAGAGAATTTATAAAAGGTATACCTACAGTCTTTGTTCAATTTAAATATTAAGTGTATCAACCCTCCCTAGTCTCCCCTATTGCCTGTACCAGTTTTATGTTTGGCCAAGTGTACTTGGGAGTTGTGCTTGATCAAAAGTTCAGTTGGAAGAGACACATTGAGGTAAAAACGGAGAAAGCGAACATGGCCATGTGGCAGTGCCGCAGGGAGATGAGTCATGGGGCCTCACTCCCAAAATCGCCCTGTTTATATACACCGCTATCATAAGACCGATGGTTTGCTATGGAGCTATTGTCGGGTGGCTCAGAACCAGACAAGTAAAAACGAGGGCCCTGCTCGATAAAACGCAACGACTTATTGTTCGTCGATTTTTAACTGATACTTGCGGTATGAAAAGCGAGGGGGTGTTTCATATGAAAAAAACAGGTGTGACGTCAGGTAACCATTGGCGTTTTAATGTAGGGAGCCACCAGCTCACATTCCGTCCGAGTATCAGATTAAAATCGACGAACAATACGTGTATCGGGATCACGGGTGCTATGAGGACCAACCTGACGAAGGCAATTGAGGCGGTCTTGGATCTGCCACCTTTGCACTTGTATGTAGAGGACATTTTGACCGCCTGCAGATTAAACCCCTTGGGCTTGTGGCAGCACGGAAGCTGGATGGGGGGACACTGCCGCATACTAGCGGAAGGGTGCAGAAATGCACCCCTGCTGGGTGCGGCGGTGGATCGCACGATGCCCACACAGATAACAAAAAGATCCTACAGTGTCTATAAGTTGGGTGAGGCGCAGGCTACTCCAACGGTCTCAATATACACGGACGCATCGAAAACCAGTAGAGGAACAGGAGCGTGTGTTTTCTCACCTAAACTGAACCTCCCTTGGTGACCACACCACCGTCTTTCAGGCGGAATTGATCGCGGTCATCCAGGGAGCCAATAAGACACTGTAGACTAAATAAACATCTTTACACCTTGAGTGTTGTTGAGACCCCAATGTGTAGATGGTGCGACGCTGCAGACGAGACAGTTGACCATGTGCTTTATCACTGCCCAACCTTTTGTCAACAACGGCAGGCCATTCTGGGGGACATCTGGCCTAATATAGCCAGGTTGAGGCGCACCTCACCTGGAACTCTCCTGCAATTTATCCAACAGGTGCAATGTCTGCGGGAGACCCCCGGGGAGGAGAATGCGCCTTAACAAATGGAGGTGACACAAAGGGTGTCAGTGAGGTAACTCACCCTCCTTTGCAACTATCCAGATCCAGATCACTGGCTCTCCCTTTCAGTAGGTTTTTGTTTTGAAAAAGAAACTTCAAGAGCCTGGAATACACAAAAGTTGAAAGGGACCGGAACAAATAAAGAAAAATCAAAAAAATTCAACTACTATATTAACTCAAAACCAATAGTTTTATATCATGAATGTGATCACTATTTTATTGTGTGTATAATGTTTTTGGGTCAGTTAAAACTAGGCACCAAACTATACCGTCTAAAAAAAAGGTCACAGGAAAATTGGGCAACAAATTTTTTGGTGCCCAGTTTTTAAGCTCTTATAAAATGATGGTAATAATTCTCGAGGCAAATGACAACCCCTTTGCATCAGCAATAAAAGTGCATTTAAAACACCAAAAATTTGTTTAAACAAGTATTTATACGATCGTCCGATGCATGTATGGTAATGTATACTGTGTTGAATAGGTGGTCCTCAGTCATGCTGGCGCTGGAAATTCATTGCTTAACACGTTTAGCCAGACCCGAAAAAGAATTATTATCGGTTTCGTTGTTTGGTGCGTGTTTTTTTCTGTTTTGGGCTCCTTTTGTCTTGTCTTCGAAACCAAAAGACAACGAAATGAGGAAACCATCTTCTTCTCGCGAACGCAGATCAAGATTAAGTCTTGAAAGTATGGCACGCACCGAAAAAGGACCCGGCATCAGCTCCATGAAAATTTGTTGGATTTTTTGTTCAAGTCTATAAATTTTGTGAGAAATCTTGATAAATTGCAAATTTCTTTTGTTTTTTCTTCTAGATGCCGACAGGACGTTAAGTATCTTAAATTTACTGTATAAAGAGAAATTCTTATGCTAAATTCAGTCTGTAGGCACTGAAACCTAACCGTAATATTTATTTTTTTTCAACAAGAAAGGTGTGTTAATGATAACCCTACACATAAAAAAGTTTATCTATATCTTTCAAGAGGCCATTGTTAACATTCATTGGATCTGATCTAAACTGTTATCATTTCTTCAGGTTTTTGAATGAACTAAAAAGGTGTTACACATGCCTAGACCGGATATTGCCACCTGTTTTAGCCTTTGGGCGTCTGGTGTCTGAGATTTTTTGTGATTTAAGGGTGTGAGTGATATATGGGAACATTTTCTTATTACAAGGAAAAATATGTTGCATCATTCATCAAACAACAAAAACGGTAATACCTAATAATTGATAATCGACAGGAGGCTAAACTAATTTTAGCTATGTGGAAAATAATTATCTTTAATGCCGCACGAAGATATTTAAATAATCTCCTTATACGACGGACTACCGATTACAAAATATTTATGACAGGGTTTTAGTAGAGTTCGTAATGGACTGTTTTAATACAAAATAACACATTCCGGAGCGAGGAAATTAGTGTTATTTTAATAAGAAGAATCCGATTCCGAGCTTGGTGAGTTTGTGTGGGAAATATCTGCAAATTACATATGCCTTTCTAAGTATCGAAATTGGTACACAAAATAAGGCAGTTTATTCAAATTCTGGAAGTTATTTTCAATAAAATAAAAAGTACATTGAATATGAACAGCTGTGCATAGATAGGTAGGTATATATTTCTCTCATAGCTAATAATTAGGTTTTACTCTGAGATTTTCAATTTTTTTCGATAAAGTAGACAGACTACAGGGTGGTCCAATTTGGATACTTTCGATAGGAAACTTTAATATGTATCGTGATTTGGTAAAGTGAGAATCGGTTATTAGTCTAAATTTTAATCATAACCGGCTCAAGTCACGGTAAAAGTCAAATAGGGTCGTTACCTCCTGTTATTAAAATTATACTGACCATTATTTTTCGATATAGTGAGTCCTAGAACTTGGCCATGTCATATTGGTTTTATTGAAAATTGTTTCCTGGATTATTTAAATTAATTTAAAATTTAAACATTTTTTGTCCTTGTCGAATTGTTGGTCTCTTTCTCCCATGACGTCACTAGGCGGGCATACGCAAAGCAGTTGTAAACAAATCCATCAACATATGCAATTTTGTGAGGCTATGTTGTTTTGTTATTAGGCAATCCAACGACCTGTCCAAATGGCGCCTGGTTGGCAAACAATAAACAAAAAACATATGTTTTTATTTTGAAGGGATTAAGCCTAGTACTCATAACCGCGAAATTCGTTTTTTTTTTTTGACGTTTGATTCACACATAAAACGTCAAATTGTCGAAGCAATGTCAAAAAACAGCGAATTTCGCTGTTATGAGTAGGTACTAGGCTTTATCAATACTGACATCGTTGACATTGTAACAACCCGTATTCTAACCTCATAAAAATTTCAAAATGCCTGCTGGTTGGCAAAAGTCACGTGGTTTGGATTCCCTAATTATTTTGGAATGTCGTTGATCGTTTTTATATTTTCATTATTTTTTGAGTTTTTCAACGGTTTTTCCGAGGTTATAAGAAAAATATTTAAAAGAAACGTGTAATAAATTCAAGGTAAGTCATTGTTTTTCATTATTTGATGTTATTAAGGTCTCAAATAGCGCATGCATTCCAGTTTCAGTGTACCCACCTAAGTCCTACCTACTGTTCACTATTTGGCTATGGATTTTCGTAAATGTTTTGTTCCTTCTTGTAAAAACAGTAATCTAAATTCGAAGAAAATCTTTATAGCTGTTCCCAAAAATGAACAAAAAGAATAAATTAGTGTTTAGCTGTGGAAAGAGTTAATGTAGGTATTGTCTAGTATTTCTGGTGGAATTTATTGCTGTGAAGATCATTTCAATGTAAGTAAACTTAGTTGCCAAATTTCATTTTATAAACACCTATTTTCTGTTTTACATTATTTCAAAAATATGAACATTATATTATGTTTATAGATGGAACAAGATTGTGATAACTAGATGCAGTTTAGGATGACAAACTGCAAATTACTTATGAAGAAAAAAGTGGTTCCACATATTAATTCAGGCAGAATACGAGTTTGTGAAAAAGCTGAATAAAAGAATTGCCAGCTTACGAATCCATATTGAAAGAGTGATACAAAGATTGTGAGAATTAACAATACTCGAAGGACATTCCTGCATTGACCATCAGCTTGTGGCAAAAACTGATAATTTAATAATTATTGCTTGTGGAATAGTGAATTTGCCATTAATCAAATAAATTTTATGTCGAAGCTAGAAAAAAATGCTTTTTTGAATATATTGTATAAAAAAAATACCTGAATTTTTTACTGCCAAAATAGTACATTATACACCTAGAGACTAAAGTGGT